GCCAGCTCCACACGCCCGTGCGCGCGACTGCGCGGGGGAGGGGCGTCACGTGGGAGGGGCCGCGGGGAGCTCGAGGGGCTGGGCGGGCGGCGCCCGGCCTCCCCCGCCTCCGCTGACCCCAAGCCCTGCGGGAGGAGGACGCCCTGCCCTGGGCGCAGCCCTCGCCCTGCACACCCCGCCCGGGCTTCCGCGCCACCGGAGGCAGATCACATCCAAGCTTGACACTGCTGAGTGTAAGCCTGCTCGCCAGCTACGGCGAGGGAGGGAGGGAGGGAGGGATGGATGGATGGATGATGGATGGATGATGGGTGGATGGGTGGATGAATGATGGATGGATGATGGATGGATGGCTGGGTGGATGGATGATGGATGGATGGGTGGATGGATAAATGGATGGAAGGAAGGAAGGATGGATGGATGGATGGATGGATGGATGATGGATGGAAAGATGAAAGGCTGGATGCAAGGAAGGACAGATGGATGGATGGATGCATGGATGGATGCATGAATGGATGCATGAATGGATGAATGGATTTCAGCACTATCGGCTTATTTGACTGATGGCTTGATAATTCTGCCAGGGAAGCATGTAATTTATTACTGAAGGCTAAATATCACAAGTCTTGAGACATCTAGTCATGAAAGGACTGGCCAGAGCCAGAGGAGACAATTCCGTTCATTTTGTCTGTGGCATGAACTAGAGAGATGGGAGACGGCTTGGAAGCAGCCCACTGGAGAAGAACCCTACATCTGTGAAGCAGGAACCTCCATGGCCTGGGCCTTCCTTGGACAGGGAGTACCCAGAGGAACTTCCCTATTGCCCCATGCTGGGATGCTGATACCCTAGAAACATTTTTTAGGTTGAAGCAGGGCAGCCAGAGCCAGACCTCAGGGAAGGATCTAGTGTTACGTCAGAAAACCATAAGGCAGATGGTTCCCCTAGTAAAACTTGCACACACCTTACTGAAGTGTAATGTTGGAAATTTACACTCTATGTTCATTGCCTTCTAGGTGACCCTCCAACTGGTTTTCCAAAGTTGTGAGACTCATGGAAGGAGATTGCTCATCTTTCTCATTTGTAGCCACTGGTGGTTCCAGGGGCCAGAGGCACCACCTTTGGCTTGACAGTGCAACTCCTTAGGGACTATTCCTCCAGAATTCCCTAATACCAAGGTGGGTGTCTTCTTTGTAATAGATGCAAGGTCAGATGAGAGTTCGGATAAGGCGTCCTTCTCTTGTAATGGTTCTAATACCACTCACCACTCCTTACCCACTTCACCAACTGGGCTCTGAGCCAGTAAGTGGGTGTTTGCTGCTTGACTTTTCTTTGTTTCATTAGCTTCCCCCCCCTACAAATGGAAAAGTAAGGGTGAGCTTTTAAAGCATACCATGGTCTGAGTCAGGTTCTTTTTCTTTCTCTATTTTTATCTCTTACAATTCTATCTATCAAGATTTCATTGATTTAGGTTCTCTAAGGATCCCAGCCCTAAGGCAGGTGTAGATAAATCCCCTATGTTCAATGTAGTGTAGTTTTTCTGGGCCCAGTTCATTTTGCATTTTGTTGTTGGTTTGTATGGGGTTTTTTCCCATTTTCATTAATGTTGACTTTGCATTTACCATGTCCTTGTGACTTCTTTCTTGTTTTGAATGAAAGATTTATTAGCTTTCTTTGGGGTTAGGTTACTATGGGTTTTTTGTGTTTTTTTTTATCCCCCTTCACTGAAAGTAGCTGAGTCAGACTTGAAGTCATTCTGATTTCCTCTCTATTTGGAAGGTGTGTGGCTCTGACATTTATTTCTCTCTTTTGTTTTTGTCATAATTATTTACAGATTGATGACTCTAGCTCCCTGTTTCCTGTTTTGTGAATTTATTTTATTTTTGAGAATTCTTTTTCTGAGTTATTTCTTGTCTGGCATAGTTGATTGACTGATAATATTGACTCACTGTCCAAATTATTCCCTTTATTATTTGTTCTAAGTTTTGTCTGATATTTAGATATCTCTTCACATCTCTAATATGCTTGGGTCCAATGTTACAGACGTTGTGTCAATCCACCTTGTTTGAAGGCCTTCCTCTCTCTCTGTAATGGGGCAGAAGTAGAAAAGGATTAAAAGGAGGAAGGGAAACTAAAAATGGGTAAAAATCAAGGACAGAATGGAAGAAAGTGTGACAATAGTTTATATAATTACCAAAATCACAGCTTAACCACACAGAATAATCTTGATCAAGGTCCGTATTCTACTTGGATGAGGAACATTTTGGAATAGCAGGTACTAAGAGCTTTCTTCATGGGATGTTCAGTACGCTTCTCCAACACAAAGTCATCCTTATTCATTGTCCAATATGCTAGTTATCACTTTTAGGAGGAGAAAGGCAGAATAATCTTTGGAAAAGGAGAGATTAAGCACCAAGCTGGCCTCAGGATGATGTCTCTGAGGTTAACTTTGGAACTACCACACAACGTACATGGGAGATGTTCCTCGTCTGTTAAGGTGCTTTGTCACTCACACGGCACCTGAGAGCTCTTAGCAGAGTTGACAGTCGTTAGGGAAGAACGCTTGGGCTGCCTGGGCTCACGTATACAGTATGTTCCTCCTCCTCGTGATGCCCACATGTACTGAGTGCTGCTGGCCTTCTCAATCTGAACTGTTTCAGAGGAACATACTTTGATGTATGTAAAGTAGGAACTGAAACAAGAAAATAGGAAAGTCTGGTTCACAGCAAACTTAGCAGTAATTCACTTAAAGTTTAAATCAGTTAAGGTTTTCCTTCCTATTCATTGACAAGGCCATCTTAGAGACAAGATTGTTGTTGTTGATATGTACCATCAAGTTGCCTGCCTCTCATGGAAACCCTATGTACAATAGCTCTGAAACGTTCATATCCTGAGCCAATATCACTGACTCTGACACATCTAATCCCATTGCCCCAGTTACCTTGTCAATCCATCTCATTCATGGTCTTCCTCTCCTGCCTTGTCCCTCCACCATTCCAAAAATTATGTCCTTCTCCTAGGACTGGTCCCTCTGGGCCACGTACCCAAAGTATGTGAGACAGAGCTTCAGAATCCTTGCCTTCAAGGAGAAACTTTGTTTCACCCTCTCCAAGACAGTCCTATTTGTTCTCCTGGCAGTCCATGGTATATTCAATGCTCTTCTCCAGTAATACAACTCAAAGGCATCAATTCTTCTGTCATCCTTAGTTATTGTCCAGTTCTCTGATGCATAACAAGTAATTGTGAAGATCATGGCCTGGATCAGGAACTAAAATCATTGCTCTTTAGCACTTTGGAAAGGTCCGTGACAGCAGACTTCTCCAATGCAATTCGTCTGTTGATTTCCTGACTGCTGGCACCAAGATTGTTAATTGTGGAACCCAAGCAAGCTGAAATTGTTAGCAACCTCAGTCTCTTCTCTGTCCATCATGGTGCTGCCATTTAGCGCAGTGGTGAGAATCTTTGTCTTCTTGATACTAAGCTTCAATCCATGTTGAAAATGACAGTTCTTGATCTTGTGCAACAAGCACTTCAGATCCTACTCAGTTTTGGCAAGCAAATTGTATCATGTGCATAAGTTGTTGGTGAGTCTTTCTCCAAGGCTGATGCCACACTCCTTCTCATAAAGTCCACCTTCCTAAATGATCTGATTGAAAAAGAATAGAGACAGGACACATCCCTAACGCACTCCCTTCCTAATTTTGAAACATGCAGTATTTCCTTTTTCTGTTCTGATAACGGCAATCTAGCTGCAACACTGTCACCCCATTGATCACCAGGGTTAATTCAGCTGATCTGGCTGGATAGGCAAGTGTACCCTTCCGCACCAATCCATGAGTGTCCCTCCCAAAGCTGTGTGCTCTGTTGAAGAGGACAGCAATCCCTGATAGAAGGAAGACCATCCCTAAAGGG